ACTATAGGACAATTAAATACTTTCTAATGTTATTTTCAATTTCCATTGGATGGCATGAATAAAGAACAATTTTCAGAATGAGGAAAGTAACTTTTCAGCCAGTGTTATACTATTATTTAAATTTCTGCCATGGCGAAATTCTACATAACCGCCAATATAAATTTGTGAAGGATGGTGGCGCCACTGGCTGCCATGACGGATTTTAGTCTTACACCATATTGTGCCATTGATAACGCTGTTTGCTACTTGCGGGATGGAATTTGTACGTAAGCGCGACTTTGAATGAAATGTGTTTTCAGAATCCCTTTCATTAGCCACTAAATGTTTTGTTGAACTGGGTTGATGATCAAATAGTTTGCTTCAAATTGCCAACTTGTGCAGTTATTGACTTATTGTTCACTTCGCTTAATAAATCAATTAACGTTAACTAGTTGAATGAGTGCAATCCTAGGTTGCATTCACATTTATTAGCATACAGAGTTGTTCAAAAGTGCTAACTTTATGCCAAATAAATGCAGTTCGTTTAGGAATTAAATTCTTATGGAGTGTTTGCTTTCAATTGGAAATTGGAAACAACTTCTGTTTCGTCTCTTTTCAGGGGAAAAGAACGACATTAGATATTTTGGAGTATTTCAATTAGCAGATAGTTGTATTACTTGTTAGCTTATCTATCAGCATAATGTCACTAAAAGCTATCTTATGATATATATCCTTCGTGTACTCATACTGGTTGTGGACTCAGAAAATAGTTAAGTGATTGATTAAATTCAGAGCAAAAATGTTGTCCTTCTGAGGCCTTACATTTTTGTTTATAAATGTGTGAAAATAGTATATGCATTATTTACCTTTTAGTAAATTGATAATTTGGTATATTCTAGCAAATTTACAAATAAAGATCAATTAACAGAAAAAACGTAAGTTTTTCCCATTCTTGGAGCAATAATACATCATTGCCTTCATTTTACATATAACAGGATATGTCTTATGTTTTGCATTTGCAGGTGCTTTAGTGAATGCACTAGGAGCAATTGTGTTGGGCGCACCTGTTGGGATTCAGTATGTGGCAGTTATTTTACTGAATAATGCAAGTCTGCTACTTACAATAGTGATTACTGATGTCTTTGTTTTTTTACCGAATACAGACATTTAAAAAAGACAGTTCATTGGTCTCTTCTAATGTCCCTCTTCACGGTATGCATCCCATTTGTATAATTAGATTCTGCTGTATGTTGCTTTATTGTCTTTGTTTTGTTTCTCAATATTGTTATTCATTGAAATAATCATGCTCCATCTCATGTTGTATTTCTGGCAGTTTGTCCCTGCAGCTGCTGTTTATGGTTCATCTTGGACTGACTGGCATCGGATATTTGCTCACACCAAGTAAAGTTAATTACTCCTTAGAATATTTTCTTCCCCTCAGTTACGGCATTTCTACTATCTCCATAAAACCATAGTGTAGTTTTTGTTGATTAGTGTTTCATGATTTCCATATGCAGACCAGTGGGTTCTACAGATCTTATTATCTGTTTATCTGCACATGGAGCTGTTATTGGGGCTTGGTTTGGCGCATGGCCTATGCCTCTTGACTGGGAAAGACCTTGGCAGGTAATGGGACTTTGTCAGTTTTCCTTACATTTTCGACCTGAAAAAGTAGTTAATAGTTTTTTTTGTAGCCTTATAGAATATAAATGCCCTTTCAATAACTTGATGCTAACTAGCCTTACATTTACATTCTTCTACAATTTTTTTTTTTTTTAATATAGCATTTCTGATAATTTGAACTGATATGAAATGATATGAAACAGAAAGGAGAATGCTGATGTGCTAATATCTTAACAATTCTTTTTACTGAGATCAAGTTGTCAATTGGTGATGCTAATTGGCTGTTTTCTTTTTGTACATTTTTTTAGTTAAATTAATTGAGGATGTCCCTTATTATGTCAACTTTTTACTGTTTTCTGTTATCAGAACACCACAGACACATTCAAACTACTCACTCATACGGTCCAAAAGTTAACCCACACACGTCATGCTATTTTATGTTTGAATGCTGGCCTTGCACTTTTATCTCTTGTCTGATGCCTTCGAAACTTGACAATTTTAACAGGAGTGGCCAATTTGCGTGACTTATGGTGCTGTTTTCGGGTACTCGATTGGATTGGTAGTGTCATTTGGATTTGTCGTTTATAACTACCGAGTACACCATACAAAGGCGGACTAATATGGGAAGATCCTCGGATGATAAATTTTTGGTTGAAGGAAATGTTGCGATGCTCTTGCTGAGATATATAGCCTAGTGTTTTAATTGCGCCATGTAGAACAAAGAAATAAGTGGAATTGGCTTGTGTTCATAATTTTTTTCCAGTGATGAGTCCATTATATTATTCTTTGACACTTTTCGAAGAGTGTTTGAAAATGCATACATTATGTATGCTTTTGGGTGGCTTGTGTCTGATAACACAGATAACAGTGTTTATTTTATGCTTTTCCAGGAGAATGCAGCCAGCACTACGGCAATATTGTTTTCAAGTTCTAATTCATTTTGTCTAGAAACCTACACGTCTGATATTGTGTTTTCGATCAATTTGCTAGCAAAATTTACAATTTCCCTTTTTAAAGTGATATAATATGAAGTTCGGTAATATCCAATTATATTTCAAGTATGTTGAGTTATGAAATTGATTTATGATATTGGTGTATCAGACATTACTGTATAATTGTTCTAGAAGTAGTGGGTCCTTGATTGGTTATACAGCTCTGAAATGGCATTAACATTTTATCAACTGTTATTAATTTTTTTTCATATTTATCTTGAAGATAACATGTTTGTGTTGCACAAATAAATTATGAAAATACATTTGATGTTATTTTTGAATCTATATTAATTTTGGAAGAGCAAACAAAAGTATTATGACGATTTTATTTTAAAAACTAATAAAATCAACAACTAATTTTTTTCCCCATTTGAATAAACAACTAATATCAAAGTCGGTTTAGAGAGGAGGACTATCTCTCAATAAGAACACATATCGTAGAGCATCTCTAATGCTATGAATTTGAAAAACTATTATTTTTAACACATGTCAATTAGTGATTGTAATGTTAATCCACATTGGAATAATGTTAAAAGATTAGAAATTTGAATAAAACTAGTATCTTCAATGCATCAATTTGATAAGAAGTTATTTGTATACGTGGACCAATTAAATAATTCATTGATACAAGAAAAATAAAAAATTAAAACAAATATAAAGTAAATTGGTTAGACATCATGTTTAACATGGTGTTAGATATTAGAAAGTGTGCTCAACATTGTCAACATTAAATGACATCCACCTCATCATGAGAGAGTTCATGACAAGATGCATTGGAGAAAAAAAATAGTAACACGCTTTCAAAAGTTGATGATATGGATGACTTTTTATAATATTTTGTAGGCTATTCTTTCTTGGGTGATTTATTTAAAAAAAATTTGAAAAATAAGTGGACAAAAGAAAAAAAAAGCGAGTTGACCGAAATAGAAATTCCGTATTTAGCAAATACGTTTTCGTAATTTTTTTTTTAATGAACAACATATTTAGCAAATACGTCCTTAAATTAAATTTGTTTACTTTTTTAAAAAATATATTGCCGAAAAATGTATATATAATTTTAATTATAAACCGTATTTATAAAATACGTTTTAAAGAAAACCCCAAATTTAAATTGGAAACCCTAAAGCCTAAATAAATCAATTTTTTTGTTTTATAAAAATAATCAATTTTTGTTGTATAAAACGTATTGCATGAATACGGTTTTTAATATTAATTAATTCTTAACAAATTAAATTAAAATAAAACGTATACAGAAAATACGTTTTTCAATATAATAAAAAATAGAAAACGTATTTACAAAATACGGTTTTTAACAAAATATAAGTAAAAAAAATCGGGTCTCCTCCACCATTCTGCGAGAAGACTGAAGCTGCGAGGAAAAAAAAAATCACTTCCTTCCATTTTCTCTTCACCTCAAAATAAAAAAAAAAAAAGCTTTTTACAATCAATCGATTCGGAGAAGAGATTAGTTGTTATTTTAATGTAATGTAATTACATATTTTTTTTTGTTTATGAATTTGTAAGAAATATTTGTTGATTTTTGATGAGTATAGTTTAGAAAAGATTTATTGTTGATTTAATAGTTGTGTTAAATGATTATACATTGTTCTTTGATGATGGGTTTCGGTGTATGTTGAGAATTTTTGCAAAAATTGGATGATTTATATTGTATTGTTGGATTATGAGAATTAGGGTTTGGAGAGTTATTTTATAAAAGAACATTTGATTTTTTTTTTTTTTGTTATTGTAGTATTAATTGGAAATTTTATCTTGAATTGAGTAAAAGAATAACTGAATTTTTTGGGAAATTATGTGATGTTGTAATTGGGAAGAATTGAAAGTGTTTATATGTTATTGATGAATTTTATTTTTTTGTTGTGTGAATGATAAAAGAATAATTGAATTTTTTGGGTGTTGGGTTAGAAAGTATGTGTTGTTGTAATTGAGAAGACTTGTTTTTTGCAACAGGTATAAATGGCGTCTACCTGACCATACTTTGTTAATGTGTATTGGAATTTTCCCAAGGAGTTGTTATATGATTTTTCAGATTTTAAAAACTCTCCGGATGGTTCATTTAGCATTAGGGAGAAGATATCATTTAAACAATTGGTAGATATTCTTTATGAAAATTTTGGGTTTCATCGAGATGGTTGGATAATTGAGGAGATTAGTTTACTGACTAACCAACGCGATGGGTCGTGGAATATTGGAAACCTGAATACTGATAGTGCTCTTAAGTGGATATATTATTTCACTCCTTTCTCCTATGTGTATTTGCATTTAGAGTTGAAGCAGGTTACGCAGGCACCTACAGAGGTTACGCAGTTTGAGGATGTTGCCCCTTTTTACGGGGGAGTGGCTGATGTTGAGGGTACGTCCACTTCGCATGTTCGTAATTTTGGCGAAGGGACAAGCTCAATAGTTAGAGAATGCGATAATGAGGGTGATGATGATTTCGTTCGCGGTGAAGACGATTTCACAGATGATACCTCGGAAACGGAAACAGATAGATCAATAAACGAGGAGAGTGAACCAGAATTTATTGAAGAACACCCATTTCCTAGTACCGGTCAGCACGTGTATCGCGAGATGAGTGAGTGGGACCCATTGTGTGTAGATCGTGATGAGTATGCCTTGCCAATGTGGGATGGGCATGTCGATACTATCCGTATGGGTACTTTTTTTCGGTCCAAGGAAGAAGCACAGCTGGGTATCATGAGTTGGAACGTTAGTAGGTTGAGGGAGGTTAAGACAACCTATTCGAATAAGAAAACATTCAAGGTTGTATGCACATCTAACGAAGATGAACCTTGTCCGTGGATGGCTCGGGTGACGCACTGCACACGGGTTCATGAACTGTGGGAAGTAAGAGAATGGACTGAGAGGCACAGTTGTATGCAAGAAGTCGAAAAAAATGACCACAGAAATGTAACCGCCACAATGATTTCAAATCTTGTCATGACCAAGATTCAAAAGAAACCCGACTACAGTGTTACCCTGATCCAGGAGGATGTTAAAAAATGTTGGAAAGTCGATGTGAGCTACAAGAAGGCATGGCACGGGAGGAAAAAGGCCATCGATCTTTTGTATGGCACTTGGGAATCGAACTTCGCACAACTCCCTCAGTGAGAAAAAAAATAATTAAAAATGTACGTGTTATTTTGTCATTATGTTTATGTATTGACGATTACGTTTTGTAACGTGCAGGTTTTTTGCGGCGCTTCAAAGAGCGAATCCCACTACGGTTGTAGAATGAGAATGGCAAGGTGGGGAAATGGCGGCCCACTATCAACACAGAGAATTCAAATTTGTTTTCTGGGCGTTTGGTCCCGCCATTCAGACCTTTCAGAGATGCCCGCCGGTAATTAGCATGGACGGCACACATTTGCGTGGCTCGTACAAGGGGAAGTTGCTTGTGGCCGTTGCACAGACTGCGAATAAGCAGCTATTGCCAATCGCCTATGCGATTGTGGATGAAGAGAGCCAGGAAAGCTGGTCATTTTTCCTGACAAATCTCCGGCAACATGTTGTCGGCGACAGACAGATATGCTTTCTTTCGGACAGGGATGCAGGCTTACAGAGTGCTGTGGAATCATTGCAAGCTTGGCAAGAACCCGCTGCATATCACCGGATTTGTCTTCGACACCTTCGGAGCAACGTCGTTACTAGGTTCAGGATTAACAAAATCCGAAATTGGTGTTGGGAGTTGGGTTCACAGGTTTCAAAGAAAAAATTTGAACAGATTCGATCGCGGCTTTCGAATTTTAATTCGGACGCATACGATTATCTGTTCAGAATTCCTCTGGACAGTGGACCCTGTTTGGAGACGGAGGACGTAGATGGGGTACTTTGACTACCAACATGTCCGAGAGTTACAACAACGTCCTGAAAGGTGTTAGGTTCTTGCCCTGTCGAGCTTTGGTACACGCCACATTCATGAAAACTCTGGACTTGTTTGAGCAGGAACAAAAGAAGTCCACGATTTGCAGTAATCCCATTGCTAGTGCCCACTATGCCGCTTATTGCGAATTGGAGACTACAGCCGCAACTTATAAGGTGCGATGTTCGAACGCGGAGAGATCCCTGTTCAAGGTGACAACCGGTTTACGGGCTGATGGTAGAGGTGATAAAAGGTATATGGTTTATTTATTTATTGTATAATTTTTATTTTTTTATTTTGCTTCATTAAAATTTTAGTTGTTTATAAATATAATTAAATGTGGAAAAACAGGTATAAGGTTTCGTACGACCGGATGCGTTGTAGTTGTCTGAAGTGGCAGACACACAGGAAACCATGCTCTCATGCTATAGCTGTGTGTCGTGAAATAAAAGCTCAACCAAAGTTCTTGTACGATCCCCACTTTTGGACGGAAAACTGGGTGGCTCAATTTTCTAATTGGAGTTTTGCTCCGATTGGTGATCCGGACACATGGCCGCTGGTCGGATGGAACTTACTACCACATTGGGAGAGGATCATCATGAAGGCTGGACCCGGTCGCGCGCAAACGAAGCGTCATCGAATGCAAATGGATATTCAGGCACGCCGCCGGAATGATAGAGGACAGTGTAGTAGATGTGGTAATCCACAGCATTTTGTGGATGACTGTCCGTCCTTGCATCCTCGCACTGATAGATCTAGACTCCGTGATGAGTGGGGAAACTAGATTTGTTAGTGTTTATTTTTTTTTATGTTGGACTATTTTTTTTATTGTTTACTTTTATTTGTTAGACTATGTTTGGATGAAATATTTTTGTTATGTTGGACCGTAAATGGGTTGATTTGTTTGTGTATTTTTGATATAGTTGGTTGTTCATAATATCTGTAACAGGTTTTAAATGGTTAAACAATAGAAATAACCATTTTTTTTTATATCAGGTAAAGACGTATTTAATGAATACGTTTTTTAAAAAATAAATATTTAAAAAACGTATTTCTTTAATACGTTTTCTAAAAAATAATAAAAATTAATTATTTAACATATAATATATAGTATATACTATATAGTATATAATATATAGTATATAATATATAATATATAACATAT